ATAATATAACTGACCTAATACAACCTAAAAATATAACATTGATATTATAAGTGACCTAATAAAACCTAAAAATTTAAGATTAATAATATAACTGACCTAATACAACCTAAAAATATAACATTAATAATATAACTGACCTAATACAACCTAACAATATAACATTGATAATATAACTGACCTAATACAACCTAAAAATATAACAATAATAATATAACTGACCTAATACAACCTAAAAATATAACATTGATATTATAACTGACCTAATAAAACCTAAAAATTTAACATTAATAATATAACTGACCTAATACAACCTAAAAATATAACATTAATAATATAACTGACCTAATACAACCTAAAAATATAACATTAATAATATAACTGACCTAATAAAACCTAAAAATTTAACATTTATAATATAACTGACCTAATACAACCTAAAAATATAACATTGATATTATAACTGACCTAATAAAACCTAAAAATTTAACATTAATAATATAACTGACCTAATACAACCTAAAAATATAACATTAATAATATAACTGACCTAATACAACCTAAAAAATATAACATTTATAATATAACTGACCTAATACAACCCCAAAAATATAACATTGATAATATAACTGACCTAATACAACCTAAAATACCGATAATCTCAGAAAGATCAATGCCACGAGGTTTGGGTTTTCTCAAGGTAAAAAGGATACTTGTGAACCTAAGTTGTTATCCTTGTACTTCGGTTGTTTCTTTCTATCTGAATCTGTTACAATAAGACATGAAGTAAAATGTTACCTGCGCCTGAACATCACCTTTATCAGCTAAAAAATGATAATATTGTAATAAATCATCATCCAATAATGGTGAATTCTGGCCTGTATTCTCTTGTTCATCTTGTAACCTTATTCTCTGAACAATAGGACCACCTGCTTCTTTGACTGATGCAGCAACTAGAAATAAACAAGATTATAATTACTATGAAGACAGCTGGCTTAAATGGATAAAGAAAATCTACTGGAATGGATGATATCAACGCAAAATAATAAACAAAATATGAAAGTATTATAATATATAGTACATATAACATTCAATAGCTCTTGAGGCAAGAACAACACTTTACTTTACTTATTGTTGAAAATATTTTTATCTCCAGGAGTACTAGAACTGCATAAAAATTTCAAATATACATCAAACTAGAAATTTCTTTTTCTTTATGGCAGAGTCTCAAGAATCAGTTTAACTTTCAAATGTGGATAATTCTGATCACACATGTATTTCAAGGCTCAAATTTTGACGGTGAGCTGTGAACACTATTACTGATTAGCTGAAGTAACTAAGATACCATGGGTCAAATGATAAGTGAACCTGTCCCTTTGAACCCATAAATAAACATCTGATATACCTGTACTAGCAACCTTTTTATAGTAAGGTAAAGCTGTTTCACACTTTAATTCTACACCAATACCAGCAAAATATCTATAACCCTATAATTATAAAGTAAAAGTAAATAATGAAAAATATACATTCTTCAGCATGTCTAGATCATGTGTATAGGTTCTGTAATACATTTATTTTGAGATGCATAAAGACAAAATTGATATTAAATGTACGAAACCTAGGTCATGAGCAATGAGTGAATTTGAGGAGGAGAGATGCATGAACCTATCAGTAGTTCAATATCAAACTGTCTAGGATCATTAGCATTTATAGCATGTTTGTGATATCAGCCTCTCTGTTCACTGACATCAAAAATCATTCAGGTTGGATCTCTCCAGTCATCCTGTCTTTTTAAAAATAATAAAATAAATGAAGAAAAACTCACCAATGCCATTTGAGCTAATGGTTCACCTCCTAGTGAAGCAAATGTATAAAATATTAAAGCCTGAAAAAACAAAATATTCTCTATAAATACACTGCAAAACATTTATAAGAAGTTAAGAATCAATACTAGCACATCCGATTATAAGACACAATATAAGTTAAATAACTAAAGTTAGTCCTATAACTAAAATCATAACATACAAACCCTGGCCTGACTGGAGTTATAGGTTAAACCACTACTGTAAACAAAAGCTAAACCCTGAAAAGTAAAAGTATATTTACTTAAAACTATGGGTCCAGAGAAGCAGCTGGAGGACTACAAAAGCTTTAAGCTAATTTTGATGTTTTTGACTTCCATTCCGTGTAAAATGAACAACATCCTCAATCTCAGCTTAATATTTCTGTCTCAATCATTTTATTTATATGTATGAACTGTATACCTTGACAGCCCTACTTTTCAATTGATTTTGATACTCAATACTCCATTGAGATACTCAATGAGAGCTTACAATGAACTTACCAGCTGTCCTTTAGGTGAACCTCTTTTTGACAAATCTTCAAATAATTCAATAGCTTTGGTAACATTGTATGGTAAGAAATCTCCAAAAAGATGAGCAAAAGCAATATATTCTAATGACTTTGTATGGTTTAATTCAGCAGCCTTCAGGAAGAATAGATAGGCTCTGAAAAGTAAAAATAAATCAAATTCAACGTAACTAAAGGAAAAAATCTAAATAATGGTCATTATAATCGAGCTTACATAAGTTATCAGAGCATTTACCAAGATTAATTCTGATGCTCGTTCTCCTGTAATTCAACAAAAGCATAGCTTGGAAATGAAGACTCAATCTGACTGGTAGTTATGATGGATGATGCCATAATGTCACACATGCGAGAATAATATTGCCCTGAAAGAAAAGACAGTCTGTCAGTAGAATTTGAGTATGAAATTTACTATCCCTGCCCAAAATTAACCATTTGGCTTCAAATAATATTAATATAATTCTTGAAGTCAAATACTTACTGTGAGTGGTCTTTAGAATAGGAATTGTGGATAAGAGCCTCTCCTTTCTTAAATAGTTCTTCAGCTGTAATAACAAGAATAATAGCATTTTTAACAAAGGAAATTTGATATCAGCAGATTGAAATGAGATAGAATGTACTTTTGAAAATTAAGTAACTTGCTGGGCAACATCTATGAAGGTTGCATGCAGAGCAATTCATCTTATTACATTAATATTTATATCATATACAACATACAAAATTATCACTGACAAATTGAGAAAGCTGAATATTTCACCTTTCCTCAAAGCTTATTTAATATGTACCTTCTTTCTCTTCTGGTGTTAACTCAATCTCTTCTTCAGGTTCTTCATCAACATTTCTTTCTTTATTTTCAAACTCTTCTGAAAATCAACATTATGATCAGATAATAATCATTGATATATATAGTTAATGAATCAAATGATTTAAGAATTATTGTTGATAAAACAAGGAATTGATTTGTTGCACTTAATATTTATCAGAGGAAAAAAAAATTAGGTTTTTTATTTTTAGTTTTCTTTAAATTCTACATGGCTAAAAAATAAATTCCAAAATCTAGATTACCCTAGACAGGGTTGATAAACATTAACTACTTATAGCTTTACAACATTTGAATGGACAACATGTAAGACATGGTACATAAAATATTCAAATTATATTACAGTAATAATAGTGATATTTCTATATGTTATATTTAGTTTTAACTAACATCAATAATAAGCTCATTAGTATCAGGCAATAAGGCAATTAATTTTTATCACCATGTAGCTGAAATATGTAAGCTTATATTATGTATTTCTTAAGTATGAAATATACTCAAAAAAGGAGAGAAATAGTCTTTTTTCTCAATATTTAATGAAATTTAATGAAAATTTTTTTTTAAGAGTACGGTACCATATATCTAATTACATCCAAAATGTCTAAAAAAAGTCTCCAAAACTACTCTTTAATACTACATTTTCTTTACAAACAATACTGCTCAATTATGAATATCAGGCAAATTGGAATAAAAAAAGAAAGCCAAAATCATGCAGAATATAAACATAAAAAGTGAAAATGAGCATATTTTTTGCTGAAATTTTGTACATGCTTTGGAAAGGGTAAAAGAATTGTAATGTGCAGTGTGCAGTTCAAATAAATATAAGAGTTCATAACCAAAAAATATGAAGGTAAATACAAAAAGAAAGTACCAACATGCTAAACCCACAAACTTTCAAAGCCCCTCACCTTTCACAGCTTTCTTTAGTTGATCTTTATGAGTGACTAGCTCTGGTATTGTTTGTAGAAAATGTTCCTCTTCTGTTTTAAAGGTACCATCTCCTTTTAGTCTTTGTGTATATTTGACTGATTTGACATATCCAAATTCATCAGGATTATATAGGATAACTGTTTCCCTTTCATTATTACCTCTTGTTGTTTTATAGATCCCTTTAATCTTCTCTATAGCTAATGTTTTACGATCAAATGGCTCTGGTAGATTTTCAATTTCAAATACATCACCATCTTTAGCAGTGGATGGTTCCTTGTCTAAATTTTCTATGAACTCATCCATATTGACTGATTCAAAATGGAGACCATCTTCTTGAAATGTCTGTTGTGTTGATTGCTGAGATGTTGATTTTGGTTGATTGATATCTTTCTTTACTTCAACATTCACTGTATCTTCAACAACAGCTTGATTTAAAACATCTACTTTTAAAACTTTTCTTTCCTTTCGGCCATACTGATCATGATCTACTTTCTGAAACTGGCCTGGTCCTGGTGTGAATTCACCTTTTTCTTGATCTGAAGAAGTTACCTCATGAAAATCTGTTCTTCCATGAAGCACTACTGGATCTGAATTTTTTGTAGTAGCATCACCTTCTGTCTTTTTCACTTCATGGAATTTGGTTCTTCCATTTAGTGTCCTTGTGTCAATATTAATATTTGGGTTATCAAAATGAATGGAATCAGATTTAACATTAAGTTCCTGTGGCTGTTTCAGGTTATCATTGCTACCTTCAACTTTATAGAATTTGGTTTGTCCATGAGCAATATTTCTTTCTGTATCCATTTTCCCATTATCGTGAACAGAATCAGATTTACTACTTGGTTCTTGCTCTAAGTGTTTTTCAGGTGATGGTTCCCTTGCCTCTACCTTATAAACTCTTGTTTTATCATGAACATTTTTGGTGTCAATATTAAGTTCGGCATTATAAATTTGAACAAATTCAATTTTACCATTCAAAACTTGTTCACCCTCTGATTTGACTTTTGCATCCTCTGCTTTGTAAAATTTGGATTGGCCTTGAATGGTGTTTGGTTCATTTTGTTTATTGGAGTCTTCAACTATGATTGATTCCAATTTGATATTAACGATTTGATCTATGTCAGGTTGGGAATAATCATGATTTACATTATGTCCAACTGTATCTTTCTCTGCATTTTCATTCATCGTTTCAAATTGAGATCGCACTGATTCGGTTTGTACACCTTGAACCAGTGTCTTAATTTCTTTTCCTTGATCTGGAGTTTTAGAAATTACATCATTTGGTAAGTTTTCTTTGGAATTTGGCTGATTGGATTGCTTTACACCATCACCTTGAGAAGGGATTGAATTATCTAAAGGTTGATGTGATGAAAAAGAAGGTATAGAACGAGGATCATGGTTTGTTTTATGTGAGGAGGATTGTTTACCTTGTTCATCATAAAGTTCCTCTTCCTCCTCATCATATTGACGATCACTCTTTCGACTACTACTCCTATCAGCTTTGATACAAATACAACCAACACATAACACAACAACTAAAAACTTAGTTATCATATTGAACAATTACAGTTACTATCACACCAGTTCAACAAGCTCCTCTCTGACAATATCTATAAAAGAAAATTTTGTTATATGACATTAAGTTTTGTATGATTAAGCTTACCAATCTAAAGTACCATCAACAAACATAACCATAGTGAAAGGCTTACATATCATGAGAATTCATTGGTAAAAACTTCAACAGATTTGATGTATGGTAGGCTTTAGGATAGAACAAGTGGTTGCTTAGGAAGATACACCCACTTACCTAATAGATTTTCAGTCAATATGTATTAATGTATCAAATTGTACCAAAAATAACTTATCCAAGATATTGTTGATGTAAACATACATGCAAAATTTAATATAATTCTTAAATAAACTGTATTATTATTGTGTTCACAAACCACTTTTAACTCTGTTATCCTTTGTTGAATCGTACCCAAAATTCAAACTTGTCCAAGATCTTGTGGATAAACCTACACACCAAATTATATCAATTTCAATATTGGATAAAAACTGTGGAAAGACAGACAAACAAGGGTGACAGCATTAGAATGTCAGCGATTTGATCTGTCAGTGTCATTCAGACTAAAATGATTCTTCAGAACTATAAAACAGTATAGGCCTACAGTAGACTATAATCAGTATGGCATATTGATATGGGTTTAAGCTTTTGACAACATCATCATAACATCTTATTTCATATGACAAAGTCATTCCAATCAAACATACAAAAGCTTTCACAAAACTAATATAACCGACATTGACAAGGATTGCACAAACTATCACATATATTTACTGACGATGAGACCGAGGTGATCTCTTATAGTCTTATAACAAATAGGCTATTCTGGAATAATAAAAAAAATCTTACTTCCACTTGGAGCACACATTAAAGACAAATGCAGCAAAATGTGGAAATCACCGTTGATTATAATAAATGTAGATTTATTAAACTTACCACACAAACTACAAACATGTAAAATATCTCATGCAAAGTAAAGATTTTTTGCAATTAAATGTCGAAAGCTATCCTAATGCCACGTAAGTCTTCCATATTGGATAATAGCGCCATCTGAGTGACTTTAAGTATCGTCTTAAATTTGGAAACGGAAAAGTGTAATATAAAGACTTGGAGTTGTAGCTTATATCACATTGACCATGCATTGACAAGCCAATTTTGACCCATTCTAACTAAATCAAGGACGTTAATTTAAAAACTGTTAATAGAAAATGCATGCGTCAGAGATTTTACCAACATGCATATCAAGGTTCATCAAAACATCGTCAAAATATAAGCCTCTATTTCCTAAAAAAAATCGTCCAATTTACGAATGACATTTTATGAACATCGGATCAAAACTGTAGTCTTTATCACGTTCACAAAGCAATTGCTGACAGACGGACAGGGTCGAAGACAGTAGGCTAAAGTAATGTAGAGAATAAATTTAATCGAATAACCAACGTGAGGATTGTAAGTGTTAGCTCCCCTGAACTAAATAAGAATACATAACTGGTTTTCTATGAATTTCAGATTTCGTTATTCAAAATTCTTAAAGATTAACTTGAACGATCGGCTTCGTTAACCTTTCGCATGGTGTTCGTCATTCATGTCGAAAATACAAAATTTTTTGTATCGTTGAAATTCATATTTTTCAAGAGGAGTGCCGTTTAATATCCATTTAAATTCCATTGACTGAATTTGTGTTAATGTTTTAAATCGGACTATTTGTATATATTTGTACTCGTGTATTCAAAAGTTTTAGTAATATTAAGCCAGTAAAACAGTTAACAATATTTTCCAAATATATTATTCATAATGATAAGACCGAAACATCTGTCTCTATTCCAGCCTCTGATAGCTATTTGGACAGATGTCAGCTGGCGTAGAGACAGGAATAATAAGCCCTTTAAATGGGGACATTCCGCATCACCAAAGCTGCGGTGGTTTTTAACCAATTTAGATACCTCGGATCTGCAAAACCTCAGTGTGTTTTTGAAAGATGAATATTTTTGTAGTTCAGTCATACCAACATTTCCCCCCCTACACCATTTATGTCATGTCTCCGGCTCCATCAATGTTTTTTTGGCGAAACTGATCTACCATCGGCCATTTAAAACTTACTGCGCAGCCAAAAATTCAAAGGTCACAAAGTTACGTGATACTAACAAAACGAAAGTTACGGTAATGTCCAACACTAATTTATAATCATCTTAATGGTACTTCAATATTATGTTAGAGAAAAAGCATCTTTGGAGGTGTGGAAAATCCCCATTTAACAGAGCCTTTTTCCTCTGACTTTACTCCAGCTGGCAACTGTCAAAATATCCACCAGAGGCTGGAATAGAGGCAGATATTTCGGACTATCATATTGATATGGCCTTATCTGTAATTATAATAATTTGATGTGAGAAACTTCTATTTTAACATAGTTTTGTCGTTCTTTCTTTTAAAGATTGGTTCCCTTATTTTCATTTATGAAAATGAAAATGCTAATACGTATATGAATAGAAAGTAAAATTATTCCAATGACTGACCGATTAAGAAAGGTCTTAAAGTCTTTTTTTGTATATGGACATTTATGATTGGTGAAAACTCTTAATTATATGCCATAAGCAAAGTTTGATATGATTAAGATTAGATGTGAACATCAGTGCCAATATGCCCTAGTAAAACCAACTATTATAATAGGCTATTACAAATTAACAAAAGCCTGCGAGATAGGTATCTGTGCTAGAAATAGGGAAGAATGCGTCTGATCACATGACTTATGTCGACGAGTTCTCCGATACAATTTTGTCGACGAGTTGACTGGTATTCCTTAAATCAGATGTTACAGGGTACTATATAGTACCAAGAGCAGGGCCCAGAGAGGTAACGCGACGTCAAGATCTATAATACAGACAATTAGTCGTAACACGAGTAAAGAAATTTCAATTGACATTTGGAATTTATAAATGAGTCCTGAGAGATGTCAATTTCTCGTCAGAAGTTGTTTGAGCGTGGCTTTATTGTTTTAATACACTTCAAAGAATCTATAGAGACATCGATAGCGACATGGAAAAGTACAAATATCAATGGGACTCGAGAGAGATTGTCAATATAAAGACCTTGAAAACTTTAATTACCATGTCCTTCAGGTTTGAGGTTAACTTCAAGCCCCGAGATCTTGTAAAAAAGCAAAATTTACATTTTAGTTTGATTACATTAGAGGACGGTTTTGTTTTCACGTCTTTTTTGCTTTATTCGTCTAAATGATGTAGGAAATATAGACACCTCCCCTCATCTTAATAGAATTGGAGAACATGCACATGCAATATAATGGTTACCCTTTCTGATCGAATTCTGTCGCAAGAATGGGTCAAAGAACTGATAGTGTAAAAAGTCACTAAATTTTAAACGAGACAAACCCCCTCCTCCGTCGCTCGCCACACTGCTAGCAATGCTTATCTGACCCGATCTGGGTCTGATGAATATTGCTAGCTTGAGCATCCGGAAGGGGAAAAGTTCTGAAACCTATTTTGATTTCCAACTCTCATGGTAAATATCAATTAATCACATATCATATATTTACTATTATATCATAAACGGTATAGTGTATCAATAATAATAACAACTCAATTTGATCATCATCATTTCAGACTGATACGTTATTGATATTTCATGTCTATTACCTATAAATCACGCTGATTGATATAGAAAATGCCATAGGTTTGTTATATATTATTTAAAGATGTCTTACCACATAGTGCCTCATTGATATATACCTGGAATACCAAATTTAAAATACATAATATAAGTGGCGGAGCCAGTTTCACGTCCGAGAGAGGAAGGGGGGGGGGGGGGGGGGCCCC